TGTCAATCACTCTACTTTCACCACAGCAGGGACTGAGATATACCAGGACTGAATAATGACTTCATATTACATACCAAGGTTCATGTGATGTGTACAAAAAAAAGAATTGAGCATTAGAACTTTTTTTTCAACCAACAATTTCTTATAATACAGAGAGGATGTCGCTTTTACCAGTGTAAACAGAAAAGTCTATTGTGTAGCCATTCCTCGAATCAGCTACGACGAACAGCTTGAATCCCCACTTGGTTCCCCAGTGAGATGATAGTGAACTGTTCATGAACTTGTCATGAAAAGTTCATGGAATATCAGTGAACCATATTCATGAACAGCTCATAACAAAGTTGATGAACTGTTCATGAAATTTGCATGAACATTAAATGGCACTAGGGCAGTTCATGAACTACTCATGAAACTCCTGTGCTGGAATGGTTCATGAAATATGGTTTTAGGCAGGTTCATGAACAATTAATGAAATGGAGTTTTCAGTGAGTGTGTAGGGATATTCAGTATTCAACCAAGAACATTTCAAGAATTGTTCATGAATTAACCATGGTTCATGAACATATCAAGAACTGTTCATAACAAACTTCATGAACAGTTCATACCCAGTCACTGAATATAATTCAATGGCTGGCTATGAACTGTTCATGTACATGAACTGTTCATGAACCATTGACTGTGGGTCAATTGGCAACCATAGAAAACAACAATTATGTCAATCAGAATGGAACTTTACTCACCACTATGTAATTAACAAACATACATGTATACAGGTGGAGCACTACAATTAATCCTATCACTATTTGAAGCACAGTTCTTGACACTCAGCTGCCCGCCGCCCGGTGTTCACTCACTGGCAGGTTCACTGTCACAGTCACTGGCAGTCGGGTGTCTCCAGACGCTAACGTTGTACCCAGTTGGGTCCCGAAGTTCGGACCGGCAACTGAGTGGGGCGAGTCTGGAGACTCCTCAGTGTTCACTCACTCAGGCAGAACTTCACTCACAGTCACTGGTAGTCGGGTCTCCAGACGCTAACGTTGTACACAGTTGGGTCCCGGAGTTCGGACCCAACTGAGTGGGGCGAGTCTGGAGACTCGGACCACCCTCCTCAGTGTTCACTCACTGGCAGGTTTCTTCCTCAGTGCCTTTTGAAGGTTTTGTACCTTCCCCATGAAGGTGCTGTGGGAGACCCCACACCTCTTCCTGACCTGCTGCTCCAGCTGCTGGAAGCGAGCCTGGTCGAGGGCAGGTCGAGGGTCACCGGGTGTCACCTTGCAGGTCTTCTTCCCCGTCAGCGAGTGGGTACGGAGTTCATCTGCGCTGAAAACCTTCAGGGCCAGGATCTTGACAACCTCCAGCAGGTCCTTCTCCCCTGCAACCAAATGGGAGACACTGGCCTCCAATGACGTGATGGTCTGCCCGTTGCACATCTCCTCTGCTGGAGCTGCATCGACGGCTGCGGGCTGTTTGGCAGGAGCGCCACCATCCTCCAGTGTGCGCATCCTCTTCTTCAGGCTCTTGTAGGACTTCTCTATCGCCTTCACCGTCTCCTCCAGCTGGTGTATCCTTTTCCTGTAAAGATATTAAAAATAAAATGTAATAGCCACATTTTGAGAGTAGAGTTCCTTTGGCATAATTAGTTTAACAATTCAACAACAACAAATTATATTATAATATTAACACATGATAAGGGCCAGTTAAGGGGGCAATTTCACTCTAGAGTACTCTCAAGGAAACGCTTACATTTGTTTCCCCAAATTATTTGTTTTTTAGGAATGTTTGTCCATCATAGCCTAATTCAACATCCTAATTAAAATGCTAGTTACCACAGGATTTTTAAAGAAATGTATGTAAAGGGTTTAAACTGAGTAAATTCTTACACACCTGTCGTGATCAGCCAGGGACCGTCTTTGGCAGTCTTGGAGCTGGTGGGCCTTGGCTGTAGGCTGGAGGGGCGGAAGCTGCATCAAGACGTGCTGCTGCATTGGTGGCGCCCACAGTTTTTCTTTATCTGGAGACGATTTCTGTAACGATATTAAAAATATAAAAATGTATTAGCATTTTGAACACTCGTGAGTTCCTTTTGGCATTTTTGGAATGTTTGTCAACTTAATAGTTAATTAATTATAAAAATAATTATCGCAGGATAAAAAGTTACCACTTCCAAATTCACGGGATAGTAAAAACTGGGTATTGGGTTTTTGAGTACATTCCTGCATACCTTTCCTGACCAGAAGCCTCTCTACGTGGGGCCGGGCGGCACTGCCATTCACACTGGTCTTGGACTTCGACACACTGGGGTGACACTGGCACTCAGAGGGTGCCACTCGACAGGCTCTGGCTCTGATCTGTCTCACTGTCGCTGTGAGTTGCTGGCACATGCTGACGACCCTCCAGGTAGTCCGCTCAAGCTGTGCCTTATTTTTCTGCAATAAATAAAAATGTGGATTAATGTATTTAAATGAAAATGGCCAGTCAGTCTGTCTCAGTCCCTGCAGATTGAAAGTACAGTGACTGTGCCCAAAGTCTTGTGGTAGTCTACAGACTAACAGCCACATGTTCATGTAAGTGTATTACTTTTTGTGTAGATAAATACTGCTTGTTACAAGTCTACTGCAAATCTTTCTTTCTCTTTTTGTTGGTAGTAGGACAGGAATGTGACCGGAATTTGAAACAACATTTAGAGAGTAGAGACTCAATAATATCACCAGTACACTTAACCTCTTAAGCCCTGAGCCTGTTTTTCAGGTTTCAGGCTCGAAAATGCCACTAACACAACAAAGACTATATCTTCACTTATAAAAGGGGTAAATTAATAATATTTTCTTTCAAAGCAAGGTTACATCTGTGAGTTGGATGTAGAAGTGTCAGAATCAATATAGATGTTTTTATTTTAAATTAAATTCAGATGGAACATAGCAGAGGTGTGGACTCGAGTCACATGACTTGGACTCGAGTCAGACTCGAGTCACACATTTTATGACTTGAGACTCGACTTGACAACATCACAAAAGACTTGCGACTCGACTTGGACTTGAACACCAATGACTTTGGACTTGAGCCTTCTGACTTGAGGTGACTTGCTACTTTAATTCAGAGGTCTCCAACACGCCGATCGCGAGCTGCCGTTAGAAGAGCAGACTCCCGTCGGGGAAAGCAGAATCTTCAGCCGCTCTTACTCTTGCTGAGAATCCTTGCAGGCAGGGGCGGGTCTTTATTTAGCAGGGCCACCATGCGGCCAATCATATGCGAGGACACACTAGGATCATACCATTATGTGAAAGAAGGGTGGGGGCACAGCATGTGCAGAGCGACGGGGAGCCGGATTTAAATGCAAGCGCGTCGGAAAAAGTCAAGAAATGAGCGAAAACCGAAAAAAGAAGCAGCATCTGGCTGCTTTTCAATTATATTGGAGAAAGCAAAGCTGAGTGCAGGATTTGTAAAATGAAAATAACCTTCAGAGCAGGGTAAACACTCAGGATTTATTGTCAGAGGTGGGAGAAGTTCAGACAATTAAAAAAAGTTACAATCAGGGTTCCCGGCCCGCGGGGTCTTAACAAGTCTTAAAAAGTCTTACATTTGATAATCAGAATTGAAGGCCTTAAAAGGTCTTAAATATGATTCAGAAGGTCTTAAAAATTATCGGATTTGAAAGGTACTTCTATGTTGCGATAGCGTCTAAATGTGTTTTGGGGAAATGTCCGGGCTGCAAAGTAACCAGTACGGTAATAGCCTTTCAGTTCCCCCCAACAATTTGTATTGAATTAAATCAACATGGAACCAGTAATCACTAACTTTGTTTCCCCCGGCCCCTTGTTGGAGAACACCCAGCTAGTAACCTAGCAACCAAGCTTCAGCTCATGTAGCCTATCTTCGAATCTACTTACAAATAAATATGAGGAAGTGTAAGTTCAACCGTATTTGGTTGGAAAACATCTAATTTAGTGCTTGGTTGAAACCAGTGGAGGGAACGTGTTTGAAGCCCGCTGCACCTTTTGCAAAAGAAATTAGTGTTTGTTTTGCTAGTGGAGCGTTAGCTAGTGCAGCGTTAGCTAGTGCAGCAGCAGCTAATGCAGCAGCTCCCGCAACAACACCGGGGGACCTCCGGGCGAAGTTTGGGTCTACGTCAACCCTAAAAGCGGAGGTGCTGTAGACGCTAAATACCGTAGCTAAACACCAATCATACAACAGCAACGATAAAATAGTGTAGCCAATGCAGCAGAGCTCTGAATATAGCTCTTGTCACTCACACACACACACACACACACACACACACACACACACACCCACACACACACACACACACACACACACACACACACCCACACCACACACACCCACACACACACACACACACACACACACACACACACACACACACACACACACTAGGCTCGATTATGGCAATAATCAAGATTATGTTGGTCAATAATTAATATCACGATTATTCATTGACTTTGAAACATCCATTTATTGAACTTTTGAACAGTATCTTTTTAACTGTTGATTACCCTGAACGTATAATTCAACTGAAAAACCAATACAAAAATTAATTAAATAAATGATACATTACTAAAAAATTAATTAGATCAAATATGTTGTAGTGCACTGTCACAACCTAGCAAAGCAAAATAATCGTTTTTTACGATTATGCTGTTTTCGTAATTGTGGCAGGCCAAAATCGTAATTGCGATTAAAATAGATTAATTGCACAGCCCTAACACGCACACACAGACGCACACACATACACACACTTTTTGGCTAACACAGTTCTGTACTGTTACGCTGTTGT